CCAGGCCCGCCGGGGCTCACCAGGACACGCCTCGGAGGGAGGGGCAGCCGGTGGACGGGCCCCACGTGGACACGCCACGTCACACGCGCCATGTGCCTCTGTCCGCCAGCCCTGGGCACTGAGCTGGCTGGCGGCCACTTCCCTGCCGCTCCTGCTCCCGATCCCCCTCCACGTCCTTGGACACCTGGGGGAGCTATCAGGCCCCCACTGGGCTCCCCCTCCTACTGCCATCGCCCGCCCCACGTGTGACCCCGTCCCCAGCCCCCAGGCTCAGCCCAGCGAAGCCTGACAATCCCTCCTCCAGACGTGTGTCTGCGGCTCAGAGCATCCCCCCAGTAGTAAAGGGGCACCCCATGCAGCGTGGCCAGGGTCCCCGTGGGCTCCCTTCACGCGGCGCCTGGCCGCTGCTCCTCCCCAGATCAAAACCTGCCCATCCGCCTCGGCCGCCCTGGACAGGCGGGAAGCTCACTGCCCCAGGACCCCAAGTGCACCCCAGTGATTAGACACCCTGTCCCCCCACAGTGTGTGGAGGGCAGGGAAGGAAGACACCTGGCCTCTTGTACAGATGGACAATAGCAGGAGTCACAGTAGTCGTGACCACACCGACCCGAGCGCTTTGCCAATCCGTTTGTTTGGTCCTCACTCCAAATCAGTGAGACTAGTTCCAATTCTGATTCTGACAGATGCGCACCTTTGCAAAGGCTGAGCCCGTCGGACCACCCAGGATCAGCACCCTCACATGGCAGTGATCCTTTAGCAAAGAAGTGGCTGCTCCTTCCGGGGGTTCCACTTTGCCATAGTCCCCACCACTCCCTATTGTTCACCCCTCTGCCTCACTCACTTTCACCATGTTCTCTGCCCCCGGGGGCATCTACACTGGCCGCCTCCTCCCTTGCCCCTCCCGACTCTTGTCTGTTCTTAAGGAAGCAGGATTTGGGGTCCGCAGATCGGCAAGATGCTCCGCCTTCCCACTTCCTTCAGATCCAGGAAGACTTCCTGCTTCTTCAACTCTGTAAATGTCTGAGCTGCAAAGACCCTTGGAGGCCGTCTGG